CCAAGATCCTACCTTCCAAATTTATTAAGGATGAGATGTTGCTATCTATTTGGCTCAACACCGAGTCCTTTGATACTGGACTATGATGATGGTATGACAGCCAGACAATCACAGTGTTGTCATACAAGGTAGAACTATTGATTACAACAGGTATGATACCCTGGGTAAAGTAGTACAAGTAGCAATAACAATAGCATCAAGCACAGCCTAGCAACTGACAAACTGTGATAACTATTAATGTGGTACCTTTAACTGTATGGGAAAGTGCTACAGTTATATAACAAAATTCAACATAAACCAGGAACTTGTATGCAATGAGTTTCCCCTTAGAAGGGAGATGTTATCCTGTGTAGGGGGATTTAAGAGGGATAGGGGACAAAATAGAGAGATAAATGAAGGGAAATATAGTAGAAGCAAGGCTGGAGGGCAAAGGATCATCACACAATCTTTGGGAAGCTGCAGAAGAGGACTAGAGAGAAAGAATGAAGGAGAAAGGAAAAGAATATTGAATCAAATCAGAAAGACAAGAGACAATGTTCACTCGTGTGAAAATATTATAAAATCAAGAGAGAAAGTTGAGGAAAGAGAGAAAGAAGATGAATAGAACAAAACAAAAATAAAGGTAAAAAAACTAACCAATCTAAAAAAACAAAACAAAACCCAACCAGACAGAAAAATCAATCAAACAAACAAACAAAAGGAAAAATAGTAAAATTCCTCTGGTGTCCACAGATCTGTGGTAGTGTCCCAGTTGCAATGATGCCTTCAGATGGAGCTAGCCTGAGGCTGCTCCCAGTCCGGTGTACAGTTGGCCCCCTCTGGACCTTGTACAGCCTCCTCTGTTGCACACCAATCACTGCTCTCCCATGCTGGTTGTGGGGGGAGGGGTGCTATTGTCCTGCTGCCAGCCAAGGCTGCTTGCTTGCTTGTGCCATTGGTTGCAGAGCAGGGGGATGCTTCCAGTCCTTTGTAGGTAGGGCTAAGACTGGCCTTTGGTGGCTGCTGGAGTGGAGTCTTGTGGTCCCAGCCCCTACCTCTCAGCAGAATTCTCCCCTGTCAGCTGTCCAACTGTTGGCAGTCTACTGTGACTAGATGGGCCTTCCCTTCTTCCTCTTGGAGACATTGGCTGTGAAGCAACCCTGGAGCTGTTCTGCTGCTGGAGTTTGAGCCTCAAGCACTTGGAAATACAGTGGCTACCTCACCTGCCCACTGCTCATCCAGACTCTGCGCCTGGTCACTACTCTACCTTACTCACCAACTACTGGCTCTAGGAAGCTGCACAGAAAACAGTGTCTCATATTCTCACTGCTGCCTCTGACTGCCTAAGATTCTCCTGATCCAGGTCAGATCTCCATTTCTCAGTGAGCAGTAAAGTTGTTTTTGCTCCCTCCTGGCCAGGGCAGCTAAACAGCCACTCCGCCAGACCATGCAGTCTTGGGTCTGTGGTGGTGAGCTATTTCTTCTGTAGCAATGAATCCTATTTTCTTCTCCTCTGTCAGTTCCCTTGTGGTTCCCATGTGCCCTCTGCTCACTTTGGTTCCTCTCTGGGCTGTTGTTTTTCAGACTCTTGGCACTTTTTCCTGGAGAAGCTGAATTGCTGGCACTCACCGCTCCACCATTTTTCTACCCTGACTCTATAGTTTTAAAAAGGGACTTGTTACATTGGCTTTCAGGAAGAGAGGCTGGATAGTCCCTCAGTGGCAGGCCGCACACTGTAGTATTAGAGGACCCAATAACTGCTCAATCCAAGAAGCTGGAAGTCTCACAAAAAAGACAACATGGCGATGCTTAGGCATGGAGTTCCCTGGGAAGTCATTGATGTAAGTCCACTGAAGAAGCTAGAATCTCATGTCCACAGAAATGGAAGCAGTGTACTATCCTACTTGTCAACTATCTTTGGAACACCTCCACAGACTAATCTTCTAGGCATCCTTCAATCCAGTGAAGTTGACAAGAGTAACCACCATACATGGGATGGAAAAGCATGTGTTTGTGTGGTCCTCAGGAATAAACGTCTACTGAGATGAAGTCTTCCTGGTATCTGTGATTCTCTGGTCCTATAGATCTGGCCTGGTGTGGGGGTGATGCTGCCAAATTGTTCTCCCAGTCTGTGTACCCTTTCCTGAGGGAAAGTCATGTGACCTAGAAGCACCTGCTTTCCATGAGAGCCTGGAACACAGGAGACTGACTGTGTCTTCTCGCCTGTTGTAGGGCATTCCAGAAATGGTGCCTTGGCCCACTGTCAATAGGCAGTCCTCATTTGGTCTGCAGGCAGTAGCAAATACAGCTGGTAAATTGTGACTGGGTGGTGTCCAGGGCTAAGGCCTGGCCTTACTGCTTCTCCCACAGGTTTGATTAGCTGGCTGATTGCCAAGAGTAAGCATTTCTGGGAGAAGTCTGAGCACAGGAGTGTAGGAGCAGCTTCTTCTGCCTCAAGACTTTTTGGGACACTTCTGGTCTCTGTCTCAGATCATGACATCTGGAACAAAGGTGAAGGAACTCTGCTTCTCTCAGGACCTATTTAGCTAAGGATGGTTATGAAATGATTTCCTTACAGATGGCATCAGAAAGGGTCTTTTGATATTGGCATGGTTTCATTGTGGGTTAGAATTTCTGTCTGCTTATTAAACACCTGTAGCAATAAAATAATGTTCCTCTCCTCAGCTTACAGAGGCCATAATTTCAAGATTCTCCTTTAGCCTTCCATGCATCTGGTTGGCAGTGGGTTTCCACAAATGCAGCTCAGGAGTGTCCCTACATCTGGCTATTCAGGAACAGCTCATGTGTCAGCACTAGTAAGGGAAGGCCATTGTTCACTAAGCTTGCCTATTGATGCCTCTCTTGCTGATGTCTTACTGAGAGAGCAAGTGTGAGTAATTTAGGAGGACTAGGAGACTCCATGAGTTCCCTAAAGGTCTTACAATTCCCAAGCAGGTTTAGGATTGTGTTGATAAGAGACTGAAAATTTGGGTCAGAAATATACCCATGACACCAACTGATCATCCCTAAGATGTTGAGTACAAAGAGTCACCCAGGGCATCCTAGTTGGGAGTAGGTTTTGGGGCTACACTGTGTAATTGGGGTACAGACTGGGTAACCATGGACAAATTTCTTCATCACTAAGAACATCAGTATGTTCATCTCTAAAAGAGGATACCTATCTCAGCTTTGTCAAGGCTTATATTAGATATTTCTATAGCTGCATCTAACACCATGGGGCATGTATCATGTGGTGGAATCAGCTTCTTGGGGCCAGTAAGCATTTGGGTATTTGTGGGAAGCTTTGGAATCCATCCCATTGGAATGCCCTTGGGTGTTTATATATTGCACATTATGGCAAGGGTTGCCATTTTGCTTCACCTCCGTTTAAAATGAAAGAACACCAAGGAGTTTAACTCAAGGTCACTTTAAATATGTGGGAACTGGGGAAAGGGTGAAGTTCAGGTGTCAAATAAGAAAACTGGCAAAAACTAGGCCGTATATTCCTGGGTTCCAACCTTGTTTTAACAGAGGTCATTGATCACTCTTAACCTTCTTGGGTGAAAGAGTCAAACTTGCTCTTCCTTTTTTAGGATGGGATCAACATGATCTTGATATGTAGACTAAGGCCAGGATGGCCCCGAAAGGCCTCAGCAATGCTCCTTCTGTGAGATATGTGTGAGAATGAGGAACTCCCCCTCCCCAGAGTCCCTCAGGATTCTCACTGGTCCAAGTATGTGACTCAGTTTTGAAACCTGACTTTTCCTGGGCCAGCAGTACTGGGGATGGGGGGAAGTGAGTTGGAGCCTGGCTGCCTGTGATGCTTGCAGGGCAGCAAGGGTCCACAGAAGAGGTTTTCTGTACTAAGGCTGTGCTTGTGAACATGATGACAAGGGCACCAAGAGGAGCATCACTGGGACCCACAATGAAGGTATCCACCCCAACACCATGATGGAGGGCCTGGCAAACATGAAGCCTCCCTTCAAGGATGGTGGCTCTGCCATATTTGGTGAGCCTGGACTGTGCCATGGGCTGAGTTAGGTTTACATGGGAGCAAGGATGGACAAAGGGTGAAAAAGGAGGCTCACGTGCCCAGGAGCAGAGCATGGAGCTTCATGGGCATAAGGCTGCAGTGGATATGGGGAGACAGGTGACATGATGACATATTCCTTGCCTGTGGAATCTTACTAGGTGCCTGTGTCTTTTGATAGTATTAACAGCCCCATTCAAAGGACTAAGGTGTCATCCCTAATCTGTTCAGAAGCATAAGTCCTTAGAAGCAGAAGGGTTTCTAATGTCCCAGCACCCCAGTTGACAGGCCAAGACAGTGTGCATGGTGGCTCCATCCCCTGCCAAGCGAAAGACTCACTTCCCCAGGTGCTGCCCCCATAGGCCATCTTGGCCATGCCTGAGTTGCAGCTCTCCACAACCTGGGTGGACTTTGGAGTCTGCTTTATGAATCAATGGCAGGCCCAGGGTGAACTTGAACAGCTGCTGGAGCTCTGGGCCATGTTGATGGGTATGTTGTGACCTCCTGTATACTTGCTACTTGTCCATGGAGGCTGGGCCAAGTCTCCCAAAAATGGGCCTATGTGTCTCTGCATGCTGTCCCTGCAATTCTTGCAGTTCTCAGTTGCAAGTATTCCCTAGGTGTCCCTGTCCTGTCATGCTGACAAGAACACAGGTGACACTTAGAAGGTAGAGAAGACAGGGGTCAAATGGAAGCTCCCAGAACAATATATGAAACTGCCTGAACCTGTTTATGTCCCACCTTCTCGATGCAGGACAGCAGGAGCTGAAATAGGAGGCACAGGCCTTTTAGGTCTCTGCAATCAGTGGACTACTAGAAGCCTGACCCACCAATGCTCCCCCAACCTCCCCCACCCTGCATGTGTTCTTCACTGCTAAGTACAGCCTCTCCCAGACTCTCTGGTACTGACCAAGGGCCTAGGCCACAGGGAGCAGCAAGGTAAGAGCTGTCCCTGGTGGGGGCTGGGGGGTGGGGGAGAACACTGTCAAGATGAGGTCACAGACATTTATTCCATCCATTGTACCCCTCATCCAACCGGCTTCTGTTTCCATCCCTCAGGAGTTACACAACTTCCTATGGCCTGGGTGCCCCACACTGACTTTGCCCCAGGTGAGGAGTCTTGAGACGTGCAGCCAAGCTCTCTACCTGCTCCTGTACTGTTTTATCAATGTTCACATTTTCCAAATTTTTGAAGTGTCTTAATTTGTCTACTCTGCCTATACTACCAGTGCTGAATGTGTCATCTGAATTTGCTTCTGTAGTATCCCTTTAGAGCAGGACTGGGTAGAGCTGGGAGCCAGGTCCTCAGTTCCCGGGGTACTCAAAGACAGCAGCAGCTCCCATTCCAGTTCCGATGCACATTGACACCACTCCATACGCCCTGTGGAGATGAAATTGTGGTGGCTACGCGAGGCATGCCAGGCCAGGCCCAACCACCACCCCTCTGACTAGGCTGCACTGCAGAAACCAAGGCCCTCTTGGAGATAGAGAATGGAAAACGAGCAGACCAGATCTGTGGGGAATTGGGCTCTGTCCACCTAATGATACTCAGGTTGGCAGATTCTCTCTGCGGCCAAGGTTGCTTTTGAGGCAACCTTCCTCAGGGAAGACAGAAAACACACCCCTACAGTTCAGCTCAGAGTGTCTATGTGTGGGTGTTCACCTTCCCAACCCTGATCTGCTCAGACACCTAGGTTTGGCATCTTCCTCGATATCCGCAAATACTCAAGAAGACGTCGATTTACCTTTTCCTGCGGCGCTTCAGCTCATTGAGCAGTGTGATGACCTGTCGTGCCCCTGTGCAACCCAGGGGGTGGCCCAGAGCCACTGCACCCCCCAGAGGGTTCAACTTCTCAGGGGGGATGCCCAGCTTCTCCACACAGTAGACAGCCTGGAAGAAGCCAGAGCAGCGGCTGGAGCCACTGTCCAGCCTCCTGCACTATTTTCCCAGTTGCTCCCTCTGGGCTGCTAAGACTCGGGCAAGGGGAGATAAAAATAAACCTCACCTGGCTTGCAAAAGCCTCATTGATCTCAAAGATGTCCACATCATTTACCGTCAGTCCTGCAGGCAAAGTACGGACCTGAGTGGACAGTGGCCCCTGGGCAGGGCTGTGGGTCTCCCTAGGCCCCGACCCATGCAAAGGCCCACAGGTGTCCGTTGTATCTGTCTCTTTCAGATGAAGAAGTGGGTCCCAGCTGAGAGGTTAGAAAGATCTATGGACTGAGGTGCTGGTCTGCCCCACATTTACTTTGTGACACCTACATGGCCACCTCCAGTGCCTTCCCCAGTCCCATCTGCAAAGCAGGAGGAGGATTCAGGTCTAAAGAATGATGGAGCCATCTTACCTGATTTTTGCAAAGCTACAGGAATGGCATAGGCAGGTCCAATGCCCCTGATGTCAGGTGGGACCCCAACCACTGCATAGGACCTCAGGACCCCAAGGATGGGGAGGCCCAACTCTTCTGCCTTGGACCTCTGAGCCAGCGGGATGGCTGCTGCCCCATCACTCACCTGGCTAGCGTTTCCTAAAGGTAAATATTTAGGGTGAGGTGGCATCAGGGTGGGACATAGGAAAACTAGCCCTCTCCTAGCCACCTTGCCTAGGGGTCTGTTTTACTCCAGGCTCCTAGAGAAAAACAGCCAGCCTGGCCCCAGCCCAGCCCCAGCCTAGGCTTACCAGCCGTGGTGGAGCCACCATTCTTGAAGGCAGGTTTCAGCTTGGACAGGCCTTCCATAGTGGTATCAGGGCGAATACCCTCATCCTGGGACACTGTGATTCTCTTCTTAGTGCCCTTAGTGTCATCAAGGATGGTAGTGGTGACAGACACAATCTCATCTCGGAAACAGCCTCGGCTCCGGGCTCTTGCTGCCCTGCCAGCAACATGGACAGCGGTGCTCAGCTTCTCTTTGGAGTAACCTTTCTCCCTATCGCTGTCTTTGCTCATTAGGATAGACTTTCAACCTCAGGCTTCAAAAGTGGGGGATATCTGTGGCCCTGTGGGTGCTTGAGGGGCAATTGTGTGTTCTTAATAACCCACACATGTACCTGGGAGGGGGAGGTATTTCTGTGGGTTTCTGTTCTGCCACTGCTATCAGCCCCAGATCTCCAAATCAGAGGCAATCCCATCCTCAAGGCAGAGAGGGAACTTGGGACTGGGACATGGTGTCTCACCCGAGAAGGATTAAGGGTGTTCGTTTCTCTTGGCTATACTAAGGCTTGAGCTTCAGGAATATTTGTGCTGGGTTCTGCTACCTTTCCTGTTTCATAACACTTGTGCTTTAGATGTTCCCCAAATTTAACATGATGATACTTTCTGGATGCATTTATTTATATAAACAGCTTTTGAAGTAGAAGTTTTGTTACGTTGAGACTCTTGATCAGATTAAAAATGTAACCACACATAGACTTCACAATGGGAAGGAATCCAAAGCTGGCAACAAATGCTCACATGCTCACCTGGCCACAAGAAGCTAAGAATCGCATCCTTGGAGAGGCGACCTGTGTGAAAGATCACCTCATTCCTTTACCACTGGGTGTCTGGAAGGCGGGGGTTGGGGGCAACTTAGTTCACCTCTGCCCAAAGGCCTGAGCACCTTGATTTCTCTGATGTGAGCACCAGCCCTGGTCTTGAATTTCTTCCCTAGATCCAAACCTTCTCCAGAAGCAAGGATGGCAGGTGTGTCATATTACAACTTGGCTGGTGACTACCATATCCAGTCACCACACTGTAGCCAATTAGAGAAGATTACTGAACAGAGAGGAAATTCAGGCTCGTCTAGATAGAAGACTCTGAGACACTCAGAGAATGATGTCAGTTAGGAGATCTAAAGAGTCACCAAACACAATGGTTGGGCCCCTTCCCGCCTGTAGTTGAGGCGCGAGTCTTGCAAAGCCCTCATGGCAGCTGTATCCTAAGGACTACTCTACCACAGACCAATTAGGTTGGCCTCACAACTTGCTTCTCCAGGTTTTGGGCAGCCCACCCCAAGTAGCACTCACTTCTGCTGGGAGGCCAGTGCAAAGGTATCCTGCTTCTCTCGGGAAATGCCAAATCGCTCAGCCACCTTCTCAGAGGTTATCCTAGAATACAAACAGCAAAGCAGGTGGGCATGGGTTTGGCAGTCTGGGGGCACGGTTTGGCTGTAGAGCTATGCTTGACTTCTGAACCTCAAGGGTCGGAGGGAGGGAGGCCAATTCAACCACAGAGTCAGCAGTGAAGACTCAGGAGATGGCATTTCTGGTTCCAGAGAGTGGACACAGATAGGAAGTTGCCAATGCTGGCCAGATCCTCAGACACTCATACACCAGAGACACCCTCGCCAAGGCAGAGGGCAGAATGCATGCAAGCATGCCCTGGAGAGTTTCCTCCCTGGGTGGCCTGCTTCAGCATTGAGAAGGAGGTACAGGAGGAAGGGTTTGGTGGGTCACTAAAGGGCCCTCCTATATGGCTTGGCAGGCTGCCCTGGAGATGCAGTTTGTGGCACAAGGCTAGGCATTGCCATCTACCAGCCTCCATCTTCTCAGATATTCACTAGAGCCAGGACAGCCTGTCCAGAGTCTTGGGGGGTGAGGGGCTGGGCAAAGCTCAGGGACACTGGCTGGAGAACAAGATGCTGGACAAATACAGTGGTACCTTGGTTCATGAACTTAATTTGTTCTATGATTTTGGAAAATACGGCCACATTTGTGTTTCTGTGGGAATGATGGCTGTGGTCCTGTTTGTCACCCAATGCAGTTTGCAAACAAAAACAAAATTTTGCCAAACGAGTCTGTTTGTGAACCAAATTGTTTGCAAACAAAAGTATTTGTGAACCAAGGTACCACTGGATAACATAGTTCCCTTTCTGTATCTGAAAGGGCCCAAAGTCCCTCACCTGCATACACAGGAATCAAAAGCTACCCATGTCCTTTCACTCCCTAGGCCATTTGGATCCACTATCACCCTCCTCCCTTTGAACACTTCAGGAGGGGTATGAGAAGGTGTGTGATGTTTGGAAATGCAGAGGCTCAGGGACACCTGTTGGCCTCAAGAAAGGGAAGCCAAGGGGAGTTTCAAGTGCCATGGCCAGAGTCTCTGCTGAGTTGACCACACCCAAACAAAGCAGGCCAAGGCTTGGCACTGCCAGCACAGAGAAGAGAACATTCTTAGACCCTGCTACAGAAGGGAAGAGAGTTGGGGGGCACAGGCACTTAGAGATATGGGTGGGCACTCACCCCATAGGGATCAGGCAATCTCTGGCCTTCTCATTCTCCAGCAAGCGTGAAGTAATATTTCCAGGCTTTCCTATCTCAGCCAGGGACATGGACTCCACCCTGTGGATGAAAAGGAAAAGGAAGGACTTGAGCCTTTGTAGGAACTTGGAGGGACTGGACTGTGGTAAGAGCTTGGAAATAGCCTGGGAACACTCACAGAATCCAGTGGGATGTCTCGGAGGTAGATGAGGGCTCATTCCAGCAAGGCAGAGCTGGGGCTACAGGGTGGTGGAGCCCAGACTCCCTCCACCCAGGACAGAGCACTGCAATGCTCACTCTCCAAGAGGCAGGGCCACACTTCCCTATACAACTGCTGCACCAGCCAATTCACAGTTCGGGGAAGGCAGCCAAAGTTACCTAGGGCTGTCTGCAGGATCCTCAAATGCAGAGTAGGAAGAGACAAGTGTCTTTAAACTGAGCACAAAGCTCATATCCAAAAGTTATCTGACTTACATAAACAGGACTTTTGACAGGGTGGGATGAAAATGAGGTGGCCAGTGCAGAGGGTGAAAAATGGCTGCAGGCATGTAGCACAAAACCTCAAAAATAACATACCAACTTTACTGAGTGCTTTCCTGACCCCAGTAACAGTATGAACTCCATTTCAGGCATGGGAGTGCTAAACACAGTGACAGATACGTGATGCGAGCTCCATGATGTTAGATGTGATTATAGTTCCCTTTAATCCTCTTAAGAACTGTGACAGAGCTGAGGTAGCAATCCTCTTTTATGATGAAGATACTGACATCCTTAGTGTGGAGGAAATTGTGCACAGTCAAGAGTAGACTGCTATTTAAGTATTTTGGTCCCAGAACTCCCTATGACCTCAGATTCCCTGGGTGACCCTGGATGCTGAAACCCCCCAAGATCATCAGATTGTGATGTCCATACTCTCCTGGTTCAGATCCTTAGTAATGTAGCCACCTGGTCATTAGCCTGCTTGGAATCAAAAGCTTCTTACGAAACTCATGAAGGCTCCCAGACCTTCTTTTCAAGTTATAAGGGGAAGTGCTTAACAATATTGTGCCCTACTTGCTCTCCCCTGGTGTCACAGGAACAGGAAAGATATCAAAAGGCAGTCTGGTCAGTGGCCTTTGACTCATGAGACTGCATATCTGTGGACTTTGGCTGTCTTCCAACTGAGACACAGGTCAGGACAACCCAGTGACAGTCATCCCAATCTGGTTGGGGTCAGCAAATCTTGTTGTCAAGACACACTGCACAGGGGTTGTGAGAGGCAGCAGGAGCTTCTTGTAAGAACCTGGGCTGCTTGTCTTCCATGCCTGCCAAAGCCTCCCTCAGTCTGCCCGTGCAGCACCAGATACCTCCAGCCTGGGTTCTGGCACTCTGCTCTGTCTTAGAGGGACTGGGAAATACCTGGTCTTCTCTGGGTCATGCCCTGCAGAGAAAGATGGAGCCTCTGTCTAGGTGGATATTACAGTGACCAAATGACCAGAGATCTTACCATGTGTTTCATAGCCCAGTAGACAGCCAGATGTTTCCCATTAAATATCAGTTTGGAAACAAGGGACAGCCTAGATAACAGTAATGAGTTGTCACTATCTTTAAGGAACCAAAACAGGCTCTTTACTCTGAGTAATATCATTATTCAAAAAGTTCACACAAGGAAATTCATATACTATGTGTTCCCACATGTTCCCACCCTGAGAGATTTCCATGAAGGAAAGCTAAGAGGACAGCTCCCTTCCCTCACCAGTGCTGAAATGTGAGCCATTCTTGAGCACCTAGAATTGGGGCCACTCCTAGCCTAATACTAAGGAACCCATTCCCAGCCAGATGCCTAGGGAGCTAAAGGAGAATCCTTAAATTATGGACCCTGTGAACTTAAGGGAGGAACATTAGTCTGAGCATCACAGTTCCTGTTAGTAAGCTCCAGAAAACAGAAAGTCTTACCCACAGGCCATGCCAATGCCATAAGACCCATTTCTGATTCCACCTGCAACAGAAGCATTTTATAACCATCCTTGGTCAGAGTTTGTGTCTTGGGAGTAGCAGATCTCCTTACCCTCCTGGTTTCTATTGTCACTGAGCCCAGCTTGGAGCTCTTGTACTCCTTGCGTGTTCAGGAGCCCTTGCAGCAGTGCTTACTGCTAACCCTTCAGCCACTGATGTTATTACCCATTACCCGCGTGGGAAGTAGTAGGGCCAGGATGTTGCCAAGCACACAACCCAGTCACAACTTACCAGCTATGTTGGCCACTGCCTGCAGCCCAGATGAGCACTGCCTATTGACAGTGGACAAAGGAACAGTCTCTGGAATGCCACTGGAAGAGAATTTGAGGTGACAGTCAGCCCCCTGCCCTGCCAAGCTTTTATAAAAAGCAGGCCTTGCTCCCAGGACACATACATGACTACCTGCATTAGAAGGTGCACACCATGGAAATAACCTGTCAATTCTGCATCTGTGAGCTCTAAGGGACCAGGGAAGGGCAGCTACTGGACAGATCCCATCTCTGCAGGCACTTACTCCTGAGGCCCCACAAACTCATGCCTTCCCATCCTGTGATTCTCCTGAAGCCAAGGCAAGGGAAGCCTGTCTGGGCCACAGGGATCTTTTTTTTTCTCCCTCTGAAGATTCAACCATGAAAAACAAACTGCTCTTTTCCTCAGCGAAGAGAGAAGTAGGCTTGTTGCTGGGACAGGTCTCTAGCACAGAAGCCACATGTCATATAAGACCTGTAGACATTCTCAACCCAGCTTTCCTAATCACCCCATGGCTGGGCCTTCATGTTCCCACTGGGATAAAGATCTCTGTTGGGGACCATTGTTCTAACATCTCTTGCTCTAGGGCTTTCCAGTCTCTCACACTGGGCCCATCCCTGGAACCTAGTGGGGCCCTCCCTCAGGCTAGGTAATCTGCCTTTGCTGACTGTACAAAGGCCTGGGGACATTTTCAGGCCCACTTCACACCACTCAGAGTCTGGGAATGAATGTATCCTGGTGGTTTTAGTGTGCATCCAAGTTTGTAAAGCCCTGAGCTAGGGATGGAGCCAGGCTATGCAGGGACTTTTGCAGGTAGATGGTTCCTTAGACCTTTCAAACTCCTTCAAGGTACCCTAATTCCATAACACCTTGTTATTACTTCTTCATGTAATCCAGCAAGATTTCACCAAACACCTACTGAACATGGGAGACCTGTGAGATGCTGAGGTGATTAACATTACTGTGCCTTAGATGAAGCCTGGACCAACACACAGAAAATGAATCCACCAACAGAGGCTCAAGTAGCAGGGCTGGATAGTACAGCCACCTCACAGGGAAGCACATAGGTAGTTTTGGAAAGAAAGTCTCTCATTTTAGGCCCTGGAACTTGTACAAGTCTTGCCCAAATATTGAGACTGTGTTTGGGCAGAGTTTACCTAGGAGAGAGAGAGGATGTTAAGACACCATTCCAAGGGGACAAAATGAGCACAATAGGGAGCACAGCAGGCAGATAGGCTGGTTGGAAGAGGAAAAGTCAAGGTGAGAAGGATGCTAGGAGATGAGGCTGGATGGTAATTCTGGAGAGAGACTGACCTTGCAGTCTCTCTCCAGAATAAGCAGTCTGAAACTTTCAGATCCTAGAGCTTTTTTTTCTTTTCCTGTCATATCACTGACTAGTCATGTCATTATTTCTAGTCCATGGAGCTGGAAGCATAATGTTAAATAGGTCTTGCATCTACACATGGAAGTAATTTAAACATGGTTTCCCCACCTTGGGAGTGTATGTGCTGAAGGCCAAGTTGGCCAGGGCTTGTGTAGGCCTCCCTTTGTTCCAGGGTTCTGCTCCATGCTCAAGTTTCTCTGTTGGATGGGCCTAGAATTCTCAGTTTGTTCAACTAGCAAGTAAGCAATGTCATTTTTTGGGATGTTTATATGATTATGTAAACTAATGAATCAGGAGAGTCCGTACTTTAAAAAGGCAAGCCACAAGTTGGCTTTTGTTAAAATCAGTCTATTGATAACCTTTGAGTTGGGAAAAGGTTATGCCCACAAGTTCAGGGTTCTGAGGATTCTGGTTACCTTAATATACGGCATCCAATCAGGTCCTCCACCACCTACAGCTGAATTCCTTGGGGATGGGACCCACTCAAGAGTCACAACAGCCAATTCAAGAGTCAGGAATAGAAAAAAATTACCTCAGAAATTGGGCAATACGGGCCATGATGGCCCCAGCCCCAGGCTGAAGCACATTTCCTGTGGAAAAAAATTCTTTATTCAGGGCCATGTGGTATAGCTGTAAGTATCAGAGAGAAGACATTCCAGGTCTTTCTTCAGGAACTTGAGACCTCCACAGGCTCACTTGAGTCACTGGAATTTCAGGGTCTGAAACAAGGGAGTTGGCCACCCAACAGCGTGTGCTGTTACACAGGGGCCCCAGTGCCGGAGGGTCCCAGGCCAGTTTGCCCATGCACTCTGCTCTTCAAATCAGGAAACTATGCATTCGGCCTGCCCTTCAAGGTACGGCCTTAGATGATTTTAGGAAAAGAGGAACATATGCAAAGCTTCAATCTACCAAAACCCGTCCTATGGAGGATGGAAATGAGATTCTGAAAATGCATACTTCCCAAATGTCCTCTTCAAAGCCTTCCTTGACTCCAGACTCCTGCCCTGACTCCTGCCACCTAGTGGTGGCATCCACTGGATGTAACGGTGTCCCTATATTATGTCGTTATATTTTAAGAGTAGAGGTGTAGGAATGGGAAATAGTGTTGGACTGGTCAGGCCTTGGGTTCATGTCCGGGCTGTTAGGGCAATTTCCCTGGGTCCCAGTTTTACAATCTTGAAATGAGGGCCGTTCTGATGGTGTTATGTTCCTATCGTGGTATAGGTAGGGTGTCAGGAGGGTAGGGAACCCTGGTTTCCTGCCTCCTATGGTCTTGTAACCCTGTATATAGGGGCACTCTTGCTTTCCATCATATGTAATCAGCAGATTGTGCCTGTAGGGGGAGCACAAAGCGTCTGGTGTTGGGGTTAATTAGACTGGCTCTCAGACGATCACATTCAAGGCAGTGGAATCCATCACAGGTTCCCTCAGTGAAAACTGGGGGTCAGGATCTGTAGAAGGACTTGGAGGGATGTGAAGACCAGGAGGACCCAGCGCAGGGCGTGGGTGGGGCACTTACCCACGGAGATGTCTCCCAGCTGTTCTGGGCTCAGCTTCACGTCCTGGAGAACCGCACTCATGACGGCTGCCAGAAGCTCGTCGGGGGTGGTGTCCTGCAGTGGACGCGCGGCGGCGGTGAGCCCCACTCCGGCATCCCCACCCCAAGGAGACAACTCGATCACAGCGCGGGTACCGACCGCCTCCGGCCCGGGGGAACGGAGCAAACGGCCGGAACCCAGCCCGCACGGGGACACCTTCTCATCCCGGGAGCTCCCCACGAGGGGCCTCACCTTGAAGCCGCCGCGGTTTGCTCGGCCGATGGCCGTGCGTCGTCCGTGCACCACCACTACTTCTGCGGCTGAAGGCTGCGGGAAGCCGCTGAAGCACTGCACGGCCTGCAGCACAGGGCTGGTCTCGGGCCGGCCGGTAAGGTGGCCCAGCACAACCTGCAGCCTCCACATCGCGCTGCTGTTCGTGTGGATCAATCTGGGTTCTGGGAAGAGGGAAGAGACTTCTAGAGATTAAAAAGGGTCTCTCACGGAAGCGCGCCTTCGCCATACAAGGGTCCCACCCATCTTTCCGCAGCCAATCAGCAGGAGGTATTGCAAGCCCCCCCCCCAAACCCTCCAAAACCCAGTCCAAGGACAACGCCCACTGCGTCTGTCCACTCAAAGCCCCGCCTACCCTGGCTTTCCAGGCTCACTCAGGGATTGGTCTTTCTGAAGCCCCGCCTAGGAATGCTGACCCAAGCCGACCTTTACACCTTCCCCAGCCTTTCACAGCTAAGCTAGTGACAAGACTCTCAAAGTGGTGTTGATTTCTTTTTTATGAACCTGGCTAAAACCAGCAACGGGTGCTCCAGAGTTCTGTCCACTGCCTGCTACCAAACTGAAGCCAGGGGCATAAGGATCCTTGCCCACGGATTCTTGCAGTTGGTGGAATAGGAAGTCGGGACTCTTAATTCCTGTTTCCCCTTCCTAATGGGTTTGGTAGTGCCCGCCGTCCCAGCCCCCAAGCCCGAGGATTTAAATACGTTTCCGCGATGCTGAGTCCTCCGATCTAGTCACGCTCTCCAAGGAAGTTTTTAGTTAAGAAAGAGGCCATTTGAGATCCTTGTGTGCGCAGAGAACGGATTTTACAAAGGTGCTGCATTGAGACAAGCTCTCCAACTGGAGAAAACACATTTTTCATACCAATTTTATACTCCTTTGGGGAGTATTGATTAGACCTTCCCCCACACACTTCCTACTCATCTCCACCCCGTTAGAGGGTTCTCCACCAAGCCAGGGAACCGTGATTAGCATTTGATAGGTGACTAATAGATATCTGTTGAATGAATGAACTAGGTCTGGATTGTGTCCCCAACCCTAAAGAGCAAGGCCTAGTGTCCCTTGCTTGCCAATGACAGGGCCATGTGGATTATCTGAGATCTGGGAGAGTAGTGTTGGGTTTGTGGCTGTTACATCCAGAGAGAAAGGACCAACCAGAGACCGATATTAAATCCTCACAGGAGTTTATTACCCCCCGGGACCCGAGCCAAGCATCCAACTCGAGCTCCGACTGGGGGGAGATTAACATATTTTATACACCTTTGAGGCCAACAGTTTCTAGGCCCCCTATGGGATAGAACTAGAAAAGCAAGCAAAAGGTACAGAAGCGGAACGTCCTGCCGTTAGAACATTTGTAAAACAATAGTTGATTATTTGTTTCTAAAAGACTTTCTAAGGGAAGGAGGTTTCTAAGCTTCCTCCTTTTAAGTTCATCTAAAGGGCAGGCAGGTGGGTCATTCAGCAGCAATATGGAGTCTGTTTTGCTAACTAGGGTCCTTCAGTGGCAGACATCAAAGGACAGATGTTCTGTGACTCCCAACCCTAGGGAGTAGGCAAGGCCACCATGTGCTCAGACTTCGGAAGATAATGTGTCACTTGACACTGCCACCTCGGTGGGCATAGATGTCTCTCCCCAGTACTACTCCTGGCAGGGTTGTGTGCTCTGCAGATACTCAGGAGGGAAGACCAGGTGCCTTTTACCTTGTCCCACCCCCACTATCCTCTAAGGCAGGAACATATGAGCTCTGTATCTCCAATGGAAGGAATGTGATTTCATCAAAGAGCAAGGTTGGTTTCCTACAACTCCTGAAGCAAGATTGTAGGACTTCCGACCCTGACCTTCACGTGCATGTTGATTGGGTTTCAACATCCAACTGACCTGAGACCTCCAGAACAGGGGTTGGACTCCCTACCTATTACTAGATTGTTGGATTTGCCTGGGCTACTGATCTGCATTGTGTCTGTGTTGTATAGTGGTTTAAGTTCTTGGATCTTCTTCAAGAAGATTTATGAGGTGGCCTCTGGAAAGAAATTCATATTTAAACTTGTGGATTTGGCAGGCCAGTTTATTGGGATACAAGCATGATGTAATTTTTAGCAAGTACTTTTTTAAAAAATTCTTAAGTTCTTTTATTGGTACATTTTAGATATACAGTACATTTACATTTATCATTGGGTGTTTGTACCTGTACATGATGTATCTTGGTTCTTATTTTTTCCCCATTACCTGTGAGCCCTTCACCCCCTCTACCCTTCCCTATTTACATAGACATCATTTCCATTTTTTTTCTTTTCTCATAATTTTTCCTTTCCCTTCTTTCCTTTCCCCTTCCCTTCCCTTCACCCCTACCTCTTTGGACCTTTTTTCCTATTTCAAATTATCAATTATTCATTTTAATCATTTTAACCCTTGTATACACTATCAGTTTCTCACACTAGAGATACTATTCTGTATTTACACATGTGTGTCCTATTTATTTCACTTAAGAGTATGGCCTCGATATGCATCCATTTAGCTATAAATGACTCTAGTTTTTCATTCTTTATGGCTGAGTAGTACTCCATTGTATAAAAAAAACACATGTTCTTTATCCAGTCTCCAGTTGATGGGCATTTGGGCTGCTTCCAAGCTTTAGCTATTACAAACTGTGCCGCTATAAACATGGGTGGACATATATTGCTGTGGTAGGATTCTTTTAATTCTTTTGGGAAGATCCACAGCAGGGAAATAGCTGGGTCATTCAGCAAGTACTTTTTAAAGGACAGCATACTGAGAAAGAGAAGAGAAAGTGGGCAATGCTACTTCCACACTGGTGCCTCACTGCCATCGCACATCCCCCTTCCTCCTCTTCAGAGGGCAGATAGAGAATCGGGATGAGTGCCACCAGGACGTCCTGCCTTCAGTTGGATTTTCTAATGGGCCCTGTGATGTTTAGTTCTCAACTTACCCAGGAGCTTAGTAAAGCATACTTTGGGGTGTGTCTGTGTAGGTCGCGGAGAAGTGATTCTGAGGTCTATATCTGTGCCCTGACCCTTCTCTTTTAGCTGTGTTCTACTTCCCTGGTCCACCTACATTTCCATGATGATGTTTCTGCCTTGGCCAGCCAATCATGGATTGAATTCTTTGAAATCATGAGCCAAATTAAACCTCTTCTTCTTTAGGCTATAGATGTCAGGTATTATGTCCTGGTGATGAAAAGCTGACCAATACAGCCCCCCTCTCGTCTGCATCTTTGACTCCTCTCAGCCTTTGCCCTCACCTTCAGCAGTGACAAGTCCCCAAGAGCCTGCCTGAGCAGCTGGGCTGCTTTTTATTTCTACCTATGTGGGCATGTCTCATGCCATGGGGCCTGGGATGGGATTCTGACTTCCGGCATATCCATCAGATCTGGGCTGTGGGGCTAGGTCACCAGGGACCAGGGCCACCCATAGAGAGCTGCCTTGATTGCCTTCTTTGCTGATTAACAGTGACCACATAAGAGCATCTTGCCTCAAAAATTATGAGGATGTGACCACCTGCCATCTTGTTCACCCAGACATATATAAAAGTGCACACCACACACACACACACACACACAGACACACACACACACACACACACACCTCTGAATACAGATGTTCTTAGGATCAGCTGAGTGGGAAAGTCCCACTATGCAGGGTGCTTGATTGTCTCCCTGGAAAACAAAGAAGCATCTTGATGCCTTTTTTCTCTTTTCCTTAATCATTGAAATTCTAATCAATGAAACTCTAGAAATGCTCCAACCTGCTAGCATTTATACCTTCAGTGAAGAGCAGGTGGAGGAGGAAGACAGTTACTTGGACTTTCACAGCAGGTTTTCTTCCTCCCAAGGCAGTCTGCATATTCCCCTCTAGCTGTCCATCAGTGAGAGAATGTCATGGTTCTAGGTCTCTGTGCCCCAGGTAGACTCCAGGGCCCAAATCCAGTAGAAAGGTCTCTTCTCTGCTTTGCCTTCAGCCAGGATGGAACAAGGTGCTTTCCCTTCATGTCTTGGGAAGGAATGGAGACCACCCCCTGCCTGATCTTGGTAAAGTAACTTAAATGTAATGGGTCTGTTCTCCTTTGATATTGGCCATTGTTATGGCTTGTGTTTGGATGTCCCCTCAAGGCCTCATGTGGATGAGGTGGGGCTTTCTTCTTCAGAGGTGTCTCAATCTGGAATGTGTGGTGCCGGGATTGAGGGTGTGTGATTACTAAACCAGGACACTGATGGGTTTGGCACCGCCCTAATCCAGGTAGTCTAGATAAAAGGGGCAGAAAGATGCTGTTAAACCCCCTTGCTGCTTTTGCTGCCATGTGGGTGCCATGAACAGTTTCTCCTCTGGAAGGCCTATCTGTCACACCATGCTGCCTTGGAGCCAGCTGATTATGAAAACTCTACAGACTGTAAAGCCAAATAAACCTTTCCCCTCTAACTTTGGGTTTAGAGTATTTTGTCTCAGCAGTGAGAGAAAAAGTAACACAGCCATTTGAAGCAATTTAGAGAAGGCATCTTCTACGTCTGTTTTATGTGCTTTGTGAGAATTTCAAAGACATTGGAGAAATGCCTATGTTTGTGATTTATCCTTCTATTTTGGGAGTGTGTGTGTGTGTGTGTGTGTGTGTGTGTGTAAAACCAGTGAGCTAGGATGACTTTCCCAGATAAGGGAAGCTGGCCTGTTGGGGGGTTGAGGTGGGCTTGGCAAGAGTTTCCAGTTAGTAGGGCCCCTGCTTACTGGTGCAGGCCTTAGCAGGGCAGCAGGAAGAATCAGGAAGAACCAGAAACACTGTCCTCAGCTCCAGATATTCAGATCCTCCTTCTTCTCCTTAGGCTGGGTCTTCTTTGTGTTGTGCCATGGTCTGGCTCCTGGCTCCTGGCTTTTCCAGTGACCTGGGCTGCTCTTCTAACCTCTGATGAGTCTGGAGGACCCTGCTCCAGCCACACATCCCTTGGGGACTCAGCTATGTCCCTGATGTCTGTGCATATCTGTGCCAATCCAGTGCTACTGGTATACTTTAAGGAAATTGTTGATTTTTCACTGTTTACTCTAGAAAATTTGAAAGATATAAACAAAAAACCCCACCTGTAATCCTAACTTCAGAAACTAACATCTAGTGACATTTAGGAGTGCTTAGACATCAGTGACTGCTGTTTTTATCCCAATTTCTGTAGCTGGTACCCTGGGCCACCTGACTGCTGTTGGCTCCCTATCCTGGCTA